CTCGCCTCATTTCGTTTTCGGGCGAAGTCGGTGATTTTCCATAAAAGCACACCATTGTAGCTTGATAACTGTTCTTGCCTAACATAATCTTCTAGCTCAGCTATAGCAAAGTTCCTAGCACTTAAAGTATGTTCTAGATACTCGGTTCGTCGTTGAAGTTTTCTTATTTCATCATTAGCAGTTTTAAGCTGAGCCTCCAGTCTTCTTAATTCTCTATTTCTATTTTGCATTTCTGAGTTAAATTCAACCAAAAGAGCTTCATGATTGGCTGTCTTGGCATCCTGATTCCCCAACCTTTGAAGAATATGCTCAATTTCAGCTAGCGAAGAGCGATGTGCTGATGAATTTAAGGGAGCACTGTCTGTTTCCACGTCATCCATCAGATAACGCTTAATACTTTGCTCCACATTACTTATGCGAGTGCCATGTCCTTGTACCATTGATGTTAGATCAGAATTTTCACCGATTATGGCATCTACCTTGCTCTGTAAAGTTTTAAGGATTACATCCATCTTAGAAAAGACCCCTGCATCAACTTCACCAAGTTTGGAATGAAACAAACTAGATAATTGGTCCACGAACAGAAAAAGGAGGTTCAAATGTTCGGTTACTTGTTTCTCCTGGTGTCTTCTACGTTCTTTCCAATTCATTGCCTAAAAATAGACACATCAACTCCTCGTTAGGTGTAGTTGTATGGTAAATAGTTTTAAAACGCCCACACACTTTCTGACGCAAACGATTTTTAATATCTTTTTTGAAAGCGGCTGATCAGCGCAACGATCGACATCCAGAACTATGATTGATTTTTTTTTTAAGAACCTCGTCATTACTCTCTTTGTGAGTTTTCCCGACCGGTTGTCAAATTGAGACGGAATTATGGTAATAGTTCCCTTCATTTCTCTTTCTCTCAATACTCACCCCCTTCTGTTTGCATCCCACTTTATGATAACGACACTGGGCTTCAATAGCTTCGCAGTCCCCATGAACAGGATCAAGGGGACGCGAAAGCTGTGGTCAGAATGGAAACAAATTCTGTTTATAGCTACCTGTAAAAGTTTGGTTCTCTTCAACTTTTTATTTATACGACTGAATATCATTGTGGATATCAAAGTTTAAAGAGGCTGCCTTGTGTCTATTAAGAGACAGGTATGCGAAAATTACCGGCTCTATAAAAAACCTGATCGGAATCTGATTGAGAGCTGAAGTGACACAGATACAGTGAATGATAACAAGCTACGCCTTTGCATCGTTCTCTTNAAAAAAACGTGGTGAGGCCAATTACATCGATTCCAAAAGCTATATATAATGCAAACTTGATTCCAAGAAATTATGGCATGTATAATTACAAGGGGCCCACACAAGCGGCGTGTCTGATCGTTTGTTCGAAATATAAAGAGTGTATGGGAGAATATTGAAGAATCGTAGTATCGTAAACTTCTATCAAGGAATGTCTATGTTAAGGCTCAGAATAAATGTAAACCTACCTCACTTGCAGTGTATTGTTGTTTCTGTGGTTCTAAATGGCGAATTTGAGCGATTTGATAGATTTTGCATTGACTGTTACTTTTCTGTATAAGAAGGAGACAAGGGTGGAAAGCTCATTTTCGACCGCTCCAGCGCGAAGCCGATTTTCACCCAGAAATAAGAATCGCCCGGCTTCCAAGTCGAACACCAGATAAACTAAAGGGTTGGCGCTTCTTCTAGTGTCATTCAATCGAAGATCCATCCAAAATCCAAGCGCTAACCGCCACAAACCTTTCCAGAACTGCAGCTTTCCAAGCGATCGGCATCCGCGGCACAGATTTCGTGTGCCAGGGAGCAACCGTCACGCTGTTTGCTCCACGCTGATTGGATGATAGTAAACAATGCTCTGTTTCAAATGCCCCATGTGAGAGGGGAGTCAGGGGCATATTCGCGCCGGCGATTCATCCACTGACTAGCCTGGTGTGTGGTTAAAAGGGACACGAAGGGTAACATTCGCTGGCTCCTGAGTACTGTAAATCATGGCATCATATGTACATCATGCGTTAAAAAAAATAACGCTATAATTCTTACGGATTTGTTGTCTATTCATTCTATATTTTTAGAGTAAATTCGAAGAAAATGAGCTGTTGTTTGCTGGACCAAACAATAAATCGATGGGACCAGGTAAGACCTTTTTGCTAAAAGTATTTTGTCTAAAATGATATCATTCTTGCCAAGCATAAACTACTGATTGCACTTTGCTCTAGAGAGTTTTAAGGCTGAGGCAAAGGGTTCACACTGAGCCATAATTTAAAGTTTAACTTCCTGTGGAGATAATCCATCTCTGCGTGTCTGTTAGACTTTTCACCTTCGTGCCAAAATTCAGTCCGACGGTCCGAAAATAATGACGGCATAACATTGTGTAGTTTTGTGCTTTATTGAAAAGGAATTCTGAGTTATTTCCCTTTTCTTATTCTCTCGTGCTATTTGTTGGCACTTTTTCACTAAAATTTGGACTGTGTTTACAATAACTCTCACAATGAATATCATAGACTTTATTTCAGGAATACAATATATAGTTTGTGATTTTTAAGGGGAGGAGTGTTACGTTTTACTTCAATTTGGATTCAGGCGGAAATACCCAGGGTTATCAATTGATTATAATTGCTTTAGTTCTTCTACTGGCATTCTGACCTTCAAAATTTAGTTATTTATCTCTACCTTTATTTGTTAAGGTTTTTCCAGAGAACTTAATGAGTCACGAAGAGCGTCAACTGGGAGCCTTTGTTGTTTTCTGGGATAGACGGTGTGGTTTAAGTGAAACTGTGGAAGATATATGCGCGAGACACTCAGAGGTAAATGAATGTGTTTGTACAAATTGGAGTCATTGTTTGAAATGTTTCTACAAGTGGCTGATTCTAAGCACATGATGGGTTGACATATTGTTTGTTAACTTTTCACGACGCGGTAGAGAACATCATAGTCAGACATCAATTTTCCTTCCTACACAATCTCCAGACGCGTGCGCAGGACTACGGCGCAAGTTTCTATATTTAGCAGGTTCTGATGCAATTATGCACCTCTTTATCCCGGGACACCACGTAGTATTTATGGATTTATGGTAATAGCTATCTATTAACCGTCTCTTCACGTCGGAAAGCCTCTCCATAGCAAAATTATCCGCTAGCAAGCGTGGAAATATGTAATAAGCAGGAATCGTTTGACAAAAAAAGGTTTTTGGCTAGTTTTAACCCAAATAAATGACCTGCCATAGAAAGATGAAATTTTTAATTTCATAAAAAAATAGTTAGCCTTTTTTCCCGAAATCCATGACGTTTTCCTAACATTCGTCTTAAGAAATATCTATGCTGATAAACAAACCCCCAACCGAATGGTAGGGATTTTCATGCCTCTCCTCAAGGAAAAAGTTTGCTGATGACGAGGAGCAAGGCGACATCGAGGTTGCCGTACATGAAGCTGGTTCGGAAAAGCTTGTCATTAAGGTTGTTAGCGAACTTGTATATGAACATTTACAAGGTATTTTTGCATTGCAATGCTCCAGGACATCTGTAGATCATTTACACTGACCTATCGGCTGTAACAGTTTGGCACAAGAAACTTTATATCCAAAAACTACAGGTGCTTTGCGAGGAATACACATGCCATAGCTAGTGTTAATTCAAGTCTGTACATTGAATTTAGTTCGATAAAAACTTTAATTTCGTCCCAATGTCGAATAATTTCTACGATTGTTAACGACGACTGGTGGCAGTAAAGTACCATGTTAATAATCCTTCATGAAAGGGCAATTTGAAAGATGTGGAAAGGCTTCTACCTTAAGAATAGGTAAGCGGGTGGCCCAAACCCTATTGTCGGTAGAATTATCAGTTAGAACTACAATCTATATATGGATTGAGAATAGTTCGAACAAAACAGTGAGCAGGCTTTATATTATACGAGAAACCAAGTGTTGAGAGAAACCCCTCGCAGACCACATCGCCCTTAAGAGGGAGTTCCCTGACTTGCCCTATCTCTCTGTCTCGAAAAAAGAAAGAGAAAAAAGCTAGAAATCACCGACGGCCGATTGAGAAAAGTTTGAAACAGTGTCCGGTTTTCATTTGAGAAACTCAGGGAAACCCCCTCGCGGACCACATCGCGCTTAAAGGGGGTTTCCCTGTNATATTTTTCAAGAAATTAGCTAGTTGATGAGACACGGTACATCTTGGCAGAGACAAATTTAAGTTTAAAACTTTTGCTCATCAGTAAGGGGAACCCCCTTTTCCTTTTCATAATCTATAATTAATCGGAGGCCTTTGTATCTTGGAGGGAGACTCCTAAAATTAAACTGACACCGTTGCAGAACGTGATCAAAACGTGTGCATATCAGCCCTGAAAATAGTGGACAGCCGAGCAATTTTCACTTTGCAGCCATTTATCCCCACTTTTTTTAATCCTGCATACGTCTGTCCAGTGCTTATGGGAGCGGCCACTTAGAAAGTGTTTATTCCGCTCTTTCGTTATTCCGCCTTATGGCCTTTCAGTTACCGATATTTCAAGCGTCAGTTGTAAATTCTAAATTTCCCAGACGTTGTAGATGTCGTAGGGAACCCGAGTGAAAACTGGGCGCATTTCCTTGCGACGGACAAACATTAGTTCTACGTTGGCCTTATATATGTGCAATTTTTCCCAAATAAAAGGTCCAGAAACAATCTTTAACGCTAGTGTTATGTTTTGAATTGTGAGTATCTTATTGCACTGCTCTGCTCTGGCCAAAAACAGAAAAAGTGATCTTTCAATGTTGACATTGACGTAGGAGGAAGGGTTTTCCCGTGTAAGTAAACTTAATTCGTTTTTACTTTCCTTTGAACGTTATACTTTGGGCGATTACTCACGGTTCGTGGAAATTTGACATTGATACTAAAAATTTACAGTAGAGAGCACCCTTTATAAGCCTTTTGTCGTGAAAATTTATCGAATGGGTCCGTCTGCATATCCTTTTAAAAACATTGGCTGACAAGGGCCTTAAACAAACGACGTGAGCGTTTGTAACTTTGTTTACTTGGATGCCGAGCTTCACATTGCATCTCGCCAAATTCCGTTGAATATTTGTACTTACCTGAAAAGCTTTGTAATATCGCTTTTGTGGGTTGAGACGGCGAATGTCATTGATTTGAGGGGTTCGACGACGGACGCTTATTCGGCTGAGCGTATAGTTGTACGGCAGAGGATGAACGATCGATATTCACCAAAAAATTACACAGTTTCTGAACCGTCCATCAGGTAAGTTGAAAGCCCCAAGTTTCTTCTCGTATCATTTTAACTCACAACACATCCCGCTATTTTCCAACTAGATCTCAAAATTCAGAGTTATGAAATCCAGCGTATCTAACTTAGCGCGATAGATGTCTGTGTTACGGGTGAAATGTCACGCCGTTTGCTTCTTTCTAATTTGATTATGTCAAGAGAGGAACTTTATTCTCACTTGATTATGAACGTTCAGTGCAGGTAAATCCTTTTGGCATCATTGAGCTATTTAGTGTACTGGTGTTAAAAAGGGGAAAATTCATACTTTCCTGAACTGAAAATTAGGACCTTACCAGGGAAAAAACGAGGCCAGAACAATACTTTCGAAAGAAGTGATAAGTGATGTTAAACACTGTATGTAGATCGGAAGATTATAGAAATTAGCATAAAGGACAAACCCAGACATAGTTATCAATAGTTGTCACGCAATTCCGTTTTGCATTTCATTTTCGTTTTCATTTTCCAGAAGTATTTTTGGTACATCTTTGTAAACGCTTATAAGAAAGGTTATTGACCGATTGTGAAGAACGATTCGGGGTCAGAAAAAAAATTAAGAAAACGATCAGAACTGAACTTACCTAAAATTAATATTATATTATTTACAAGAAGTCCCAAAGCAGACCGGTTTACACGAAGAAAATACTGCTATGTAAAGGATTCTGTCGTGAAATATACAAAGTTTCTAAGTGGTACTATGCAAGCGATCATGAAATGTTAAAGTAATATACAATTTTTTTTTTTTAACTTTTACCAGGAGAATGTTTACAAAACCTTCTTATTATATCGATTGTCTTGATTGTTTTTGTTTCTTGAGCAAGAAGTGCTCCACCACTGCCGGTCACAACTGAGACGATGGAGGTGACCGAGTTACAGATTATGTGAAAATCGATTCCGCGTTCATTTTGCACGCGTTGCAATCAAGTTGAACGGCAGAGTCGGAAGTAAAGTGGCACTTCAGTTCAGCAGTTTTGTTTTCACACCAGGCGATGGTCGGCCATTCTGTTCTAAAGATACCGTTCGAGACTGAATGACGCGTTTACTAATGTTCTGAATAATAATGTTTACATGGTCACACGTGACGTATTACGGGGTTTTGTACCCTTTACCCTCCCGCGATTCGTGCGTCAGAACTTCCTCATTGCTACTCAAATCGATCATAAATCGCAAAATATCAACCAGTGCAAATGCACGAGCGGTGCATGTGATTACTGAACTGTGTCTTGGAGAAAAAACACGCTTTACTAAGCTTTCGTTCAAGAAAGAGGTTGGATATCGGCCTTGTTTATTAATGTTTTCCCTTTTTATTCGATTTGCGATCTTACCTTTTGAAAGAGGGAGAAATAAAAAAACTAAAAAGATCGAGGATGGAGGCCAATGACAAATCATGGCTGACCTGGTAAATAACGGATGTCTTAACTATATTAGCAAGAGACAACATAGATTTTTGTCAAAGCAGGCAAGATAACCCCATCTAATGGCAACTAATCATAACACGACATTTGTTTCATCCTTGCCAAACTATCAAAACAAGGAATGAACCTTGGACCCATGATTCGGAAATAATTTTAGAGGTGATGATCGCGTGTTCAGCTTAGTAATTTGGTGCTGGGTTAAGCATTGACTGAAATAGTTGCATTTATCATACCTTATATTTGATTTGTTTGATTAGCATCAAAATTTCTGTGTTCTATACATTATCAGTCAAGAGAATCATTGATAACAGAGAAACTTGGTGTCGCGTGATCTTTGCAGTCGTAGTTCCATATTAAATGCTGGCAGTTTACATCACTTGCTTTCGGGGAAATGAGTTTCAGTTACCAACTCCACCGACTTTCAGAAAATGCTCGGACCTGAACAAGTTTCAGCAAATTATCCATTCTCACCACTATGCGACTGATGTTTACCCGGGGCTGTTTCCTTAAGAAATTCGACCTATCGGTCAAACACTCAAGCAAGTTCGCTCTCTATGACGTCAATGTGACATCTGTCCCTATCACGTTATGTGACATGACATAATAGTACTTGCTTAAAAAAAAAAAAAGCAACAAAGTATAATAAAGAAAACTTGGGTTTCGACCCATAAGTAAATAAATACGTGAATTACCGACTGATCAATGGTGTATCGACTCAACTACTCAAGCTACCTAGCAATAACAAGATCGACCAGACATCGACACTATCGGACAA